TGTGGCTTGCACTTTATACTATTGCTCTAACATTTCATTTTGAGTTTTTAACATCATGTGAATGCATCGTTCATCCCAACAAGAGTGAGGTAATATTGTTTCAATTTCTCCTTGAAAGTAAAACTTTTCTTAAATCATGTTATTGGTTGGTTAAAAATGCTTAATATTCTCTCAAATAATGAAGACCATGAATGTACATTTCCAAATTTTTTGATTGATAACCATTATGTGTTCTCAATGTACATACTTATAACTTCATGTATTAACTCTTTCACATTTGTGTAAGTTTATTCTTGAATGTATAAGCATGTGGCTTGTTTTGTTTATTGTATTTAAGCTTTCTAATTGCATAAATTGTTATTGTTGTTGTATGTCTCATGTTTTGATAATGTTTTCATCTTGGATTGAGTAGTGACATGTTCTTGTCGCTATGCTAGGCACATGCGTGTGCGGCACCGGGAGTTCCTTTATGATATGTTTGATATGCGTGACGCAATTGTAGCAACTTGATGAGTTTGCTCTTGTGCTGCTGTTTATTTAATTCTACTTTGTGTTACTTGATTTGTAATTCTAGTTATTTATCAATTTTGCATCAATACATATATACGAGGATATGTGATCGTTTCTATTTTATGAAAAATTGCCTCTGAAAAATATATTTGAATTTGTATTTGAAATATGATACTTTTCACGATTAGCTATCTTTCTTTTTGATTTTGTCAAAGTGGGAGAAGAATATGCAAGATGAAGTTGGGAAACACAATGTCATGGGGAGCCTTCAATAATAACATGAAATGCATCGTCGCAAGTTTTGCCATCATCAAAAAGGGGAAGGGGAAGTATGTGAGTGCAACTTCACTATGAGATGTTTTACATGATGTCAAAATATTGAAACTACTTCGCATTTTGGTATATTGGACATTAGCTCTGAGTATGTATGACTCCCTTGCATTAGAGGTCTTAGGAATCATCAAAAACCACCTTGAACTTGCCCAAGAACATGAAAAACAAATTTCTGCACAAAAATGCACTACATGTGTCGCCATACAAATTTCAGGCCGGAACATGCAACTCAAAATTAAAGCCTGTAGGGTCTAACTTGGTTGGGTCGACACATGGATATCTCGGTCGACACATATTGGAAGTTTCAACATTATATGTCGGCACATACGTGCTTCACACAGGCACATCTACCTTCCTAAATAAGGTTGTAGTCTCTGTTTGATTTGGGTCAGCACATAGGTTCTTTCAGTTCGACACATACTGGAAGTTTCAACATTATGTGTTGGCGCATACATGCTTCAGGTCGACACATCTACTTTTCTAAATAAGGCAATAGCCTCTGTTTGATTTGGGTCGACACATAGGTCTGTTCAGGGCTCCCCTTGATTCTGTTACTCTCAAAATTCATTTATGCTTGTTCAGAGTCTCCCCCTGATCCCAAGACTCACAAAATAATTTTGAAGTACCAATTAAAGGAATAGAGAAGGAATACTTCTCCATAGACGTCTCGTCAGAATCTGACTAGAACTGTCTGGTGTTCATCTCGGAACTTGGCTTGCTATCAGAAAACTGTAGACGTATCAGAACCTGATTTGTCTTATCAAACTTGATGTCTTGTATTATATATCAGAAACTGGTAGATACTTCCTTAGATGCCACACATCATGTATCAAAACCGAATCTTCAATATCTTAGTACATATCACCAACAGGTGCATATATCCTTATGCCATTTGATGGTTCAGAAACCAAATATTATATTTTATAACCATGACTTGATTTGATCTCCAAAAGATTCACATTCTTTTAATGCTGGCGTCTAGATACCATTTGAATTTTAGATACCAATTGAATCATTCTTTCAGAAAGTTAACAACTTCTGACAAGTTGTGGGTATCAGCGCGAAACTCATGGATATCCCTTATTTATGATAACTTAGTGGTTAACACCAAACCAAATATTCATACATTATCAGATCAAACTTGTTTAACATTCTTCTTTCTTGTACATGTCTTCAACTAATCATATATTGTGATATATTACTTTTGAGATAATCTTCTTGATGATTTACTTCTGAAGCCTTCCACTTGTTTCTTGATCATATCTTTTGATAATTTATCAAATACAAAATATATATTCTGATATGTCTTGTCTTCTAATATAATCTTTTCCAATCTTCTGATAGCCTGTTCTACGTTCAGTGAACTTTTGTGAAGTTTCTGATCAATTCTCAAACATAGGTTAGAAGTAAAACATGTTTAATAATATTTGGGATCGAGATTCTTAAATTTAGGCATGTCAAAATCATTATACTTTCTCCCCCCTTGTCAACAATCAAAAAGGTATATAAAATAAATTGACAAAGAAAAATTAAGACGACCATAATGACAGAAAAAGAAATTTCATTAATACTTATTAAGAAATTAAAATGGGAGACGACTGTCATAAACAAACTTAGGAAAAATGACAAAACTAAAAACTTAGAAGTTTTAAGACTCAACAACTTTTCAGAGTCTGAGGTTTGTAAGCTCTCTATATATTAGATGGTCTTTGAGAGGAGATTTGTAAGCTCTTCTTAAATCCTATCCGTAAAGTCTAAGAAATGAGGTTTGTAAGCTCTCTTCCATTCATAACCAAGAAACCAATCCCCTTAAGAAGAAACATCAATCGTATTCAGAAATATATTCTTAATCAATAATATTTTATTGATTATTGATGGTTTTAGAATAGTTCATAGGTGAGCACCAAACATGGGCAAGTTTTTTATTCATTCCAGTTTTCTTTATGTGAGTAATAATTCCTTGTAGATCAAGAATATGAAAAATGACTCTACTGAAAGAATCTGAAACGATAACTCCTTTCTGGGTGAAAGAATTTCTTCTTTCAGATAGTTGAACATGGATAGAGGCAGATTGATCTTAATCTTGAAGACTAAGAAAAGAATGAAAAGCCTATCCATTGCAGAGAGCCGTAATGTTTCCTTTTCTCTAGGCCTAAGATTTGTTCCAATTATTTGGTACCAAACCTTTGCCATGTGGGTGAGAGTAGAGGGACTGACAGCTGATCTTCGTGACCATAGATGATGTGAACATGTTTAGCAAAAACATTATTTCCTCTATAATTTCCAACGGTTTTTTCATCTTCCTTTCACTCAATAGCTTGACAGATGATTGTGGAGTTAATCATAATGGGAAATCCAGAGACAATAGACAGAAAAACACAAGCATCAGACTCATATTGAAGAACGCGAGCATTTGCCTAAAATTCCTTTACAAGTTCCGAATAGATAGGTACATAGAGCATTTCAAAGTATTTATCTCAGTTCTGGTAGTGGATATTTGAGAGGATTTTAGAAATACCACTTTTCAATAGAGCTTTAAAATCAATAGTATATTATTTTAAGAGATCTAAATTATAAATTTCTCCCTTAATGATTTTCGATGACATGATGGATGAGGAGGAAGAGAAAAATAGGAGAGAAGAGAGAGATGAAAACTATGAAAGAAATGCACAATTTAGAGAACAGGAGAAAGTGGCTAGTGCTGATGAGGAAGGATTATAAATAGAGGGAGAAAAGATTAAGAGATAAGGGAATAATGATGATCAAAGGAGATGGAAAGACTCGAGACAAGCAAATAAATTAATGATTTAGTTAAAAATAGAGATTGTTTTTAAGGCAGGTGTGATAAATTAAAATGATAAAGTAACACGCCTAATAGAAGATAAAAATAAGAGACTTATGCAAACAATAGATTCAAGGAGAAACTGAGGAGAGGCTAAAAAAAGTGAACACATAAATTCTAGTAAGAGGTAAAATGAATGATTTCATTACCTGTATCCAAGATATTCTCATTATCCGAGGTGTCCCAACAAATACTAGGTGTGATACAAATAAGACAAAAAATTTGTTGATGTACCAATTCTCTATATCATTATGGCTAATAAATGCATTATACTTATTAGTTTCCAAGAATTAAAAACATTGACCACCAGACATATGTTTTGACTTGGTTACTTCTGAAATATGAAAACTTGTCAAAAGATTCTCATTTCAAAAACACGATTCCTACGCATCATGTCTACGAAATATATTTTTATTCTCAAGAAGCATAAATTCTGAGATGCTTATTTCATTTTGAATAATGATCTATGTTCATATATAGAACGAGAATAAGTTTAACTTTAGCAGAAATTTTGAAGAAGAATTCCTATCATAAAAGAGACTCAATTAAAATTTTTTAGAAAATATTATTCTTTTGAATTCTCAAAAATTATAGTTCTAAAATATAAAAATAGATTTCTAAAGAAGGGTTAGAAATACATAACTCTCAATTCTTTTATAGATTCTCAGCTTTTGATATAAAGGTTTCTTCAGAATCACCACACGTTCAGCCTAAAAAGTTTCTTTTGAAAAAAATATAATTTATACAAAGATATTTGAATCACCACACATTCAACCTAAAAAATTTCTTTTGAAAAATATATAATTTATACAAAGATATTTTAATCAAGAGTTTAATTGATATGAATTGACAGTGTAAAATATTTTTACACTATCAATCAATAAAAATATATTAATTTACTATGTCATATAGTAAATTTAAATATTGATTTACTATATCATACCGTCAATTTAAAAAATTTACAGTCTGCTAACGGAATAATAAATAAATTTACATATAACAATTAAAAATTAAATTATTTAACTGAAGTAGGTGGAGTGGAGAACAATTATAAAGATATAAAGTAAAATTTTCCAAGAACAATCTATTCAAGTCCAGTATTTTGATATTTTGTAGCAATATATAAAATAAAACAAAAAAAAATGAAAAAGGTTGAAAAAGCTTTTTTATTGCGAAAACTGTAACTGTCCCAAAGAGTTACAAAGCATACGAAAAAACAACAGAGACACAAGTCTTTGTGTTTAAGGACTCAGATTGTCTACTGCGCTCCTAACTAGCCTAACGTGCTCCCTATCCCATACAACATGATAAAGACTCAATTGCACACACTCTGATTCCCTCTGAACCACTTGTTTAGCCACATCGTTTTCCTCTTTACGCCGTTCTGTAAATCTAACGACTCTGATTTCCAGTCCACGTGAACTGGTTGACGCAGGCTCAACATCGTATTATCTTCATCACCCCTTCCCTCTTCTCTCGCTCGCTTCGTTCCTATCGCCACTCCAAACAGCTTCGGGCAGTTATCCTCCACCACAATCTCCGCCGCATCTTCGCCATCGCACCGCTTCTCCGGCCCGCATCTTCGCCGGTGCTTCTCCGGCAATGGATGGAGCGTCTTCGTTGCCGTGGAGCAACACTCTTTTCCTTGTGCACCACTTTCCGCTTGAAATTTGCCATAATTAGACATAAGATTAAAAATGTTACTGAAGAGAGATTTCATGTCCACTATTTCCGTCCTTAACTGCATGTTCTCCTTTCTCAGCCTTTCATTCTCTTCTATTAGCGCGGCCTGATTAAACGGCGACGAATCAGAAGAAATCACCTGCTCCTCTCCCGAAATTGACGGCGACGCGATCGACTTTGTAGGCGGAATTGAAACCGAATGCAAAGGAGACGACACCGCTACTGTCGCAGTTGCACCGGCATTGGTAACTGCCGGCTTCGATTTTGAAACGATTTTCCGTCGCTGAATTTCATATAGAAGGCGTTTCTCGCCTCTTCGAAAGCATTCGTTAGAGAATTCCCACCGATCAGACACAACTTTTTTAAATCCCTAAAAATCAACCAAAACCAACACAAATTAAAAACTAAATTTAAACCAAAAAATGAAAATAATTAGTTAATTTTGATGATGATAAATGAATTACATAAGTATTGAGTTGACGGACGAAGCTGGAGAAATTATTGTGCTTGAAATATTTAGGAAGCAAATCCCTGGCGAAAACGGTAGGATCCCAAACGACGAAGGATGTTCCGGTATCATTCCAGGAAACGACGTCGTCGATGGTGTGATCATCAACGATCTGGTACGTCTTGGTGATAAATGGAGTCGGAGTTGATCTTTGAGACTCGACGGTTGAGGAGTCGTCATTGTGTTCCGCCGATGGAGCCATGGAGAAGAATATAGCACGAGAGACGGAATTAATATTCGTGATAATTCTAGAATGTTCGCGAGGAGGTACAGAAGAGAATAAATAAAATGAATTATAGAAGAAAGAGGAAGATTATTGTAATGGAAATAATATTGAGTATAAATATTTATGGAAGAAGAAGAGACTAGAAGTTTAGGTCACGTCTTTTTCTCTCGCGAAACTTCTACGCCTCTTATCACTTCTAAGAAAGCAACAAAATAGAATTGAAAGTAGGTTTATATAACTGAATAAAGTCGTGAAAATTGGAAAAATAGGTTTTATAACTGAATAAAGTCGTGAAAATTGGAAAAATATCTGACCGATTTGAAAGATTCTTGACAAAAACAATTTAGAACCATTTTCCATATTTTCTTCTCATATTTCTAGAAAAGACTCTTACTAAAATTTTGCACAGCACAGTATCAAAATTCTAGAAATTCTTTTAGCTTCATAAAGTTAGAAGCTTCTCTTAAAATATGAATTTAAAAACCTATTTTATATTAATCTTTTTAATTCATTTTTAGGTCACTAAACAATTTAAATTATAAATAATTTAATTTTCTTTTTTTAAAAAAATATTTTAAATAAAAAAAAAACCGTTTACACAAGATCCAGCCATCATACTAAAAACAAAATTAAAGTTCTTCCACTATCAATTGAGTAATACGCTCTCCGAACTTTGGTTTATTTCAAATTTTATTGACGATAATTTGTATAATTTTTTTTTCTATACTCGTGTGGTTCTCTTTAGTGTTATTATCGGTCTCTCTATAAACTTTTTCATTCCTGTACATCCAGCAAGCATAGACTGTCTCACATAAGCCGTCTTCAAAAACATTGCTCTCCAATTCTTCCTCTTACTCATATGAGTCCACACAATTTTTTGATCCCAACACCCAGGATCATGTTCTATCTTGAACCACTGTAACACCTCTGTCCAAATTTTCCTCATAATTTCACAATCAAAAAATTGGTTTTTAAAAATGTTTAAGGCGGAAGCGGCTGAGAAACTATATTCGTCTAAAACGAACGTTTACCGAAAAACCGGATATGCGTAAAGCCTATGGAATTCGATAAAAACGAGATTTGAGAATCACTAATTTGATCACACTTCAATCAGATTTTATTCACTATAAGGTGTGACTAGTTCCAATACTTTTAAAATATATGCAATTTGAAAAGACATCACAATTGTTTTTAGTTCACACAATTGGTCCAACACTTGGAGTGCAAGGCACTACAAGTGAATTCTATTATGATAGTAGAGTGCTCAAGTGTTCTATTACAATCAAGGATTGTAACAAGTTTAAAAAAATTAATTCAACACTACTCAAATCAGAATTTGATCAACACAATTGTTTGCACTTAAAACTCAAAATTTAAGCAATATAAACGTAAAGAAAGAGACAACGATTTGTTGAGGGAGTTCCCCCGTCGTCCTCGCTCGGGGTACGTCAGCCCTCAATTCTAACAATAGAATTGAGACTTGTATATAGATAGATATAACCTGTTGGTCAATGTTTACACAAGAAGAAAATAGAGTTCAAATGATCGAACACAATTTGTTGATGTAGAATCTATTTTTTCTCGCCCCTTGATTCAAGTTGAATCAAGTCCTTCGAACGCGGTGAGTAAACCTCCGACTACGACACGCCCTTTGAACAACCCCATGGTCTTCAAATCTTTCCTGACTGATTTCAGTCACCCACGTGTCGAACCCGAATCTTCCACTTCACAATCCTCCGGTTACCGCTACTAAACCGATAGAACCACCCGTTCTTCAATTACCTTCGCTCGGCTGAATCTGTGATGGCCCGATTCATACAAACCCCCCCAAAATCCAAGATTCTTGGAGGACAAAATCCTAACGGTTTTATTCAAGAAAAACCTACTGATTACTCAACCCAAAACCGATTACACCAATCTTAATTTTGGACGTTATCACCTCAAATATGCAGAATGCACAACAAAAATGATTATGTGTAATTGTTGTGAAAATCCTATGAAGAGGATGAAGATGATGAGAACAAATCAGTATGTTATTTTTACTTTTCTTGTTTTTCTCTGTTTTTTTTAAAAGAAGAGTACAACTCACTTTATATACAAGAAATAATTGACTTAACAAACATAACAAACACAAAATCTGTTTCACATAACAGAATTTTGACTAAACATCAGGGAGCAGTCGGTCTATGCAGAAGGAGGGTCGACCTGAGCTTACCCGTATTCCTGATTGAGCAAAAAACAGAACCTTGTGTTGACCGGAGCAGGTCATGCGTCGATGCAAAGCATGCAAATTTAGGCAAATACATATGGTTATAGTATGAGTCGACCGGAGGGTCGACGCGAGCCCTTCTAAGACAAGTTCATTAAATAGACTATCTGTATGAGTCGACCGGAGCTAGCTTTGGATCGACTCAAAGCCCTGAAATAGACAAAAATGTATATTTTCATGTATCAAGACATTTTTTATGAACTCTATAACATGGTAAGCTTGACTACCTTGACCAACCCTACATGAAACATGGACTTAGCCATTTATATATGCACAAATCATGTATTTGACGAGTGTTTGACTTATAAAGGACACAACATGCAAATGTGACACGATGATATCATCCAAAGTACATTTTTCTATCAATCTCAATTTTGACATCATTGAAACAAGTGCAAATACCTATGAGGATTGCTCTCACAAAATCTATAAATAGGGAGCAACCCTTATTTTATAAACATCTCATCTCATCATATTTTGTAATTCACAGTTTGCAGTTGCAAGTGAAATAACAGAATTTCCACAGTTTGTGGACAGAGAGTTCTCTGCAGAAAATTGTTCATATTATTCTTCTCCAACGTTTACTTTCTTTCTTTCTAAACTTTTCTTCCATTGTCATTACGTGAGTTGAAACAATCTTAAGACCATGATTGATTGAATGAAATTCTCCATATGTTGTGATTGAATTTCCAACATCTAGTATCTAGAGCTCTGGTTACGATTCAAGGAAGGAAAATCGTGATGGTGATGAATCATCCAAACGACCACTTTTCGACAAACCTTTCAATTCTCAAGAAAGATAGTTATGAGAATTGGTTCAATTAGATTAAGATGGTTTTCTGTTATCAAGATCTTTGGGATCTTGTGAAGGGAGGAGTAGCACCACTTGCAGATAACACGATGGATCAAGAAAAAGGTTGCATTCAAAGAATTGAAGAAGAAAGATTATAAAGCTCTCTTTACAATCCATCAATGTATAGATCCAGATAATTTTGAAAAGGTTAATGATGTAGAATCAACGAAGAAAGCGTGAGAGATTCTTGAAAAGTCGTTTGGAGGCGCATAAAAGGTAAAAGAGGTGAGGTTACAAACTCACAAGAGAACCTATGAATTGCTTCAAATGGAAGAAAGTGAAAGTATAACAGATTTCTTTACTAGATTTACAAAGCTGGTGAATCAAATCAAGGTATGTGGAGAAGTGTTGACATCAAGATCAGTTGTTGCAAAGATCTTGAGGTCGTTCGCTCCAAAGTTTGACCATGTGGTAGTACCCATAGAAGAGTCGAAAGACTTGTCAACATTGACGAAGGAAGAGCTTCAAGGGACGCTTGAGTCTCATGAACAAAGGATGGCTGAGAGAGCTGCAGAAAAGTCGAAGAGTGATATGGCTTTGCAAGCGCAATCAGAAAAAGAAAGGAAAGGCAAAGGAAGTTAGAATGACAACAAAGGTAGATGAGGCTACAACAATTCGACTGGTCGAAATCAGCAGGAAGGAAATTGGTGGAATTAAAGAAAACTCTGAAACCAAGGAAATCAAAGAGGTAGAGGAAGATGTGGTGGGCGAAAGCCTGACAAAAGTCACATTCAGTGTTTCAATTATCAGAAGTATGGTCACTATTTTAGCGAATGTCGAGAAAAGAAGAAGAATCAAGAAATTGTTGCAAATATGGCGAAGCATGAAGAAGAAGAGATGTTGCTATGGCGAAGCATGAAGAAGAAGAGATGTTGCTAATGGTCACAACAAGAGACGAAGAGAGATTTCAAGACCAATGGTACTTGGACTCAAGATGCTCGTCACACATGACTAGAAGGAAAGATTGGTTTATCAACATGAAGCCCTCGTTGAAGAACATGGTGAAATTTGCAAATGACAATACTCTAGCAGGTGAAGGTATTGGTGATGTTTTGATTATGAGGAAAAATGGCAAGAGGTCAATAATTTCCAATGTCTTGTACATACCAGACATGAAGAGTAATTTGCTCAGTATAGGACAACTAGTCGAAAAGAACTATAAGGTGTCGATCAAAGACAAGATGATGAGAGTTCTCGACGCATGTGGGAGGTTAATCTTAAAGGCTCCAATGTCTCAGAATAGGACCTTCAAGATTGAACTCAATGTGATAGAGCACAAGTTCCTTGCAACTGCAGCCAACAGAGATGAATGGTTATGGAATTTTCAACTAGGTCATCTCAACTTCAATGACATCAGGGAGCTAATGAGGAGAAATATGGCTTCAGGATTACCTGAAATCGACATTCCAAGTGAAGTTTGTGAAGAGTGTGTTCAGTCAAAACAACACGAAAATAGCTTCAACAAGGATGCATGAAGGAAGTCGAAGACAATTATGGATTTCATATACTCTGATGTATGTGGTCCAATCCAGGTGGATTTGATTGCAGAAAACAGATACTTTGTCACGTTCGTAGATGATTACAGTCAAAAGCTATGAACTTACCTCATCAAGAAGAAAAGTGATGTGATCGAGGTATTTTCCAAATTCAAATTTATGGTCGAAAGATAGAATGGTCGAAAGCTGAAAATTCTGAGGACTGATGGTGGTGGAGAGTATGTGTCAAAAGAGTTCGATGCATTATGTGAAAAAGAAGGGATTGTGCATGAGGTGGTGCCACCCTACACTCCACAATAAAATGGAATTGCAGAAAGAAAGAACAGAACCATGATGAACATGGTGAGAAATATGTTGA